AGCTGGGACTGCAGGTGCCCACCACAACGCCCGGCTATTTTTGTTGTTGTTGTTGTTGCAGTTTGGTCGGGGCGGGTTCGTCACCGTCTTTCACGGGTAAAGTGGACCAGCGCCCTTTACCGAAATAAATTTTCCACCGACTTTTTTTTTTTTTCTTTTTTTGAGACAAGAGTTTCCTTATGTCGTCCTGGGTAGAGTGCTGTGGCGTCACAGCTACAGCAACCTCAAACTCCTGGGTTTAAGCGATTCTCTTGTCTCAGCCCCCCAGATAGCTGGGACTACACGTGCCCCAGAATGCCTGGCTATTTTCTTGTTGCAGTTATCATTGTTGTTTAGCAGTCCTGGGCCGAGCTCAAACCCGCCAGCCTCGGTCTGTGCATGTGGCCGGCGCCATAACCACTGTGCTATGGGCACCTATCCGGCTATTTTTGTCGTTGTTGCAGTTGTCATTGTTGCTTAGCTGGCCCAGGCCAGGTTTGAACCCACTAGCCCTGGTGCATGTGGCTGGTGCCCCAACCATTTAACTATGGGTGCTGAGCCTTTTTTACTTTTTAGAGATAGGGTCTCTGTCACCCCAGGATGGAATACAGTGGCAAAATCAGAGCACACTGAAACTTTGAACTCATGGTGATCCTCGGAGTAGTGCACTCTCAAGTGCACCACAATGCCTGCCTAATATTTTTTGTATTGTTTCTAGAGACAGGATCTTATTATGTTGCTCAGGTTGTTGTCAAACTTATGGCCTCAACCTGTCCTCCCACTCTACCTTCTCAAGGTCCTGGGATTATAGGTTGAGCCATTGCACCTCTGTATATTTTCTTAGCTGAGACAAGCCCAGTTTATGTCAAGACTTGTCCTCTCAGCCCAGATGCTCACTTTACTCTTCCCCACTCCTCCCAGGGCTCCTCATACTTTTTAAACAGGTGGCCAGTTCACTGTCCCTCAGACCATTGGAGGGCCAGACTGTGGGCTCCAGGATGAGTGGGCTGCTAAGCAGGACAGGCAGCGGTGGCAAAAACACCGGACTGGCAAGATAAATGTCCTCGGTGGGCCGCATGTGGCCCGCGGGCGGTAGGTAGTTTGAGGACACCTGCCTCAAGCCTTCTTTGAGAGAAGCAGAGGGAAGGTTCAGGTGGTTCCTCTACCCTGGCAAAGTGGGTAGCTGAGGAATTTGCACTCAGGTTTTCTTGTAAGGCAGCCTAGGCCCTTGCCTGCCTCCCTGGCCACTTGGTGTCCTATTATAGCCTAACGCTCAGTGAGGTCCTTCAGAGGTCAAGAGGTGGCTTTCTTTCTAACCATTTACGGAGCCAGGGAATGCCAGCTACAGGGAGGCTAGAAGGGAAGCCAGCAGGCCCCTGGGTAGTTGTATTCAAATAACAATGCAGCCCACATAGGTTACAAGTGAGTACAGAAAAGCCTCAAGAAGACCTTAGGCCTCTTTTTCTTCTAGCTGGTGGGATGGGACGAGATAGGGTGTGGGACAAGAAAGGAGGCTGCTTTGAAATGACCAAGTCTGTCTTACTTCTCACAGCTTGTTCTGTGGGAGAGCGTGGGGGCCAGTTGCTTGTAGTTCTTTCCTGTCTCCTCTTTATATCAGAAGTGGCAGAGAGAGGGAGAAAGAGACGTCAGTCCTTGGGAATATTCTTGCCAGAACCTGGGCTCAGAGGCCTGCAGACTGCTGTTTGCTTTAGAACTTTTCCCAAGTTGGTTGATCTCACCATCTCAAGACCTTGTTATGCACAGGGATCTAGGTAAGTACAGCTGCAGCCTGATTACTTAGTCATAATTTCTCATCTTCTTCTATTGGGAGGGATGTGTGGGCAAGGGAGTTATCTAGTTACCCTTAATGTGCCAATGACTCAGCTTCAGGATTCTTATTCTCCTGGGAGTTCCCACTGAGTTCCATGGCATGATTCATTATCCCAACCAGTCCTTAAGCTTATTGGTTTGCTAATGCGTGATCAGATCTCGTGACCCCCAAGTTCTTCTGAATAACAGTGGATTGAGAGACTTGGAAAACAAAAGGTCAGTTTATTAAAATGTCAATAAAAGGTAGAACTACGAAGAGAACCGTGTTATTCATGGCAACTGATGTGTTTGAGATTTTTCTCTCCTGAGTGGAATCCCATTAAAAATGAGAAAGTTATTAAGGGCATATAAAATCAGAGAAGATCAACACAAAGTGTTAGAAGGTCTGAAAGGAGATGTCTTTCAAACCATAGCTGGCTGATGAATTTCTTTTCCCCACTCAAGAGACCTTCAGCATTTGCATGTTTCCACACACATTAAAGGAAATCAATAAATAGTTTCCTTTTCATAATCTCTCATCCTCTTTATTTTGTCCTGCCTTGCTGTCTCACAGGCTTTGAAAAGCAGAATATTTGGCCTCAGTCTGAGAGAGTAAAGGTTAATGTCAGAAATACTAAGCCACTTGCAGGGGCTAGAGACTAGGACTCAAAGAGAAGTCCAGATATGGCATTCTTCTAGGGCATGTGTTGAAAATTTAGATTTGCAGGCCCTAACCCCAACCCTAACCCTAACTTGGAATTTCATAGTTTGGTGCCTAAGAATTTTTTTTGTAGGCCGGTCATGGTCGCTTATGCCTGTAATCCTAGCACTCTGGGAGGCCGAGGTGGGTGGATTGGTTGAGCTCAGGAGTTTGAGACCCCATCTCTACTAAAAGTAGAAAAACTAGCTGGGCACTGGGGCAGGCGCTTGTAGTCCCAGCTACTAGGGAGACTGAAGCAAAAGGATTGCTTGAGCCCTTGAGTTTGAGGTGGTTGTGAACTGTGATGATGCCACAGTACTCTGTCCAGGGCAACAGAGTGAGACTTTGTCTCAAAAAAAAAATTTTTTTGTTGTTAAGTTCACAAGATGATTTTTCATCAGCAGAGGTGAAAGTTAAGGTGTAAGTGAAGAAAAAGTGAAGAGGAGTGGGGACACAGCGAGCCCACATCCCTTTTCGTTTCTTCCTTCCCCTCCTCCTCACCCTCTCACCCGCCTACCCTCAGGCTGTCCTTTATTGTCCCTCTTTCTTCCTGCCCCTTATAGCTTGGACCCTGTCTACTTCCAAATCATACTCCCAAACTCCAAACTCTTCATTCCGCTATTTTCACCAAAGCAAAAGTCCAAAGAAATCATACATATAACCCTTCTCTCTTCTGAAAAAAATTTACTATGGAACTTTTCAAACATAGACAAAGATAGGGAGATTGACGTAAAAAACGTCCAAGTCCTCTTCACCCAGTTTCTACTGTCAGCTCAATCCTCATCTTCTTTCACTTATATTCCTCCCTACTTCTCCCAAACTTATTTTTATGCAGATCCCAGACAGCATAACATTTTCTACATAAATATTTCTATATGGATCTCTTAATGAAGTTTAAGAAAACAATTACAGTGCCATCATCAAATTTAAAATAATTAACAATAATTACGTAATTATATAATCCCTAATGTCATTAAATGTCTAGTCAGTTTTCAAATATCCAGTTGTCTCATAAATGTCGTAAATTTTACTTTTTTTTTACACTTTGGTTGTTTGAATCAAGATCTAAGTAAGAGCTAGACCATGCAATTTGTTGATACATCTCTCAGTGTATTTGATAAAGAAACTGTGTCCTCAAAAAAAAGAAAGAAAGAAAGAAAGAAACTGTGTCCTCTTTTTAAAAAATTGCTCCCAATCCTCTTTTAGTCTTTTTCAGAGCATTTGAGAAAACCACAAAGTATCTCTCTACATTTTTCTTTTTCTTTTTTTTTTTTTGGAAACAAAGTCTCAACATGTCATCCTTGGTAGAGTGCTATAGCATCCCAGCTCACAGCAACCCCAAACTTTTGGGCTTAAGTGATTCTCTTGCCTCAGCCTCCCAGGTAGCTGGGACTACAG